ATGGATTGATGCCCGTAATGAAGACTTGACTTAGAATTTGACAGCACAGAACTGTAGAGCCAGCAGGGTGCATATCCTAAGGACGGCAGTCACGGAATATTAATATGATAACAACAGTGCTCCTGCCTGTAGACCCCAAGAAACCTGACACAGAAGGGTGGCACAAACCTCACGAAACTACACAGTGAGATCCTGTGTTGGCAGCAACGAAATGTGTTTCGGTTACAAGTACAGTATAGATAAAAGCAGCACTTATTTGCATTGTTATGGTTAGCCCACAAACTATATATATATTACTGATATATCCAGATTTATCTTTTATCTGATAATTGTAAAATCAGTTGTTTAAAAGCACACTACCTGTGTCTGATGCCCTTAACATTCCTCACTCCTTAAGCACGCTTCATAAAACCTTCAAAGGCAGCAGATTACATTTGCAAATGCTGATTTCATACTTTTTAAGCCTTAATTCTGGTTCTATTGTCTATGATTTATACAACTTTGAAAAAGTTACTTAACCTCACTGCCTGCAGTGTCTCTAATGCTAACATAAAAAAATAGATCTGCTGTCATGAAGATTAGAATACTATGCACCCACACACACATACACACACACATACACAAATGTTTTGGGGGTAAAATTAATCTTATTTTATTTAACTTAGCTTATAGCACATAGTGCACTGAAACAAGAAAGTTTCAAGTATTACTTCTCTAGTAATGTAAAGATTAAATGATTGGACAAAAATTCCTACGGATACCAATTCTAGGTACCAAATAAGAATATAAATGGAGTATAAAATCATTATATGTGTGGATGTCCAGTTTTGTTAGTAAATATATATATTTAAAGCATTTCGGTTTATATGAGTGTATATATACAGTGATTTATTACTTTTAATGGAACATATTAGAAATTATTTTGCAATAAATGATAATGAAAAACATCCAAATATCTGAGCTTTAGTGAAAGTAGATTTTAGAGAAAAACTGTGTACCTTTAAATGTTTATATTGAAAAAGAATAACGATATAAATTTAATGGTGTAACAGGACCTTTAAGAAATTATCTCTACATATTTTTATGTTGAAAATTTGGACTTTACAATATGCAATATAGGTAAATAAATATATAAAAAGTATAACATAAGTTAGAGAAAAGCTTATTAAAACAAATGCAAATACTGTTAGAGGCTATAAATGAAAACATTTAAAGTTATGTATTAAATGTAGGACAAAGAACTGAACAGATAATTCATAGAATAAGATAATAAATAAACTTATGAAAAGAAATATCATGTATCATTACAATTTTTTTTTTTTTTTTTTTGGTACCAGGGATCAATCTTGGGACCTTGTGCTTGTGAGGAAAGGAGCAGAAACACTGAGCTAAATCCCTAGCCCTAGGAAATTCTTTTTTTTTCATTGAGTTTATTGGTACTTTTTAAGTATATAGTGCAGTTATATTTATCATTAGGATCTTGTACCTTTACATGTGAAATAGGAAGAAAAGGACTAGAGGAGTATGGGCAATGGCAGGGGTAGGGAAAGGTAATAAGGGAAAAGAAAAAAAATATGAGCAAATTCTTAAAGCAAAAAAGGAGATACCACTGCATGTGTTTTAGAATGGCCCAAATCTAATACACTGACCCCCAAGTGCTGGCAAGAATATGCAGGCATTGGAGCTCACTGAAATTTTTTTTTCAGCTTTAATTGAGTTTATTGGTACATTTTAGGGATATAGTACAGTTACATTCATTGTTGGGATCTTGTACCTCTACATGGCAAGTCTTGATTCTCATTTTTTCCCCTTGTTCCTGCCCTCCCTTCACCCCCTCCTCCCCTCCCCATCTACAAACACTTTATTTTCATCTTTTCATTCTCTCACATTTTTTTCTTTTCCTTTTTTACTCTTCCCCTACCCATCCCACCTTCCCTACACTTTTAGCTCCTTTCTTCCCATTTCTAAATGTCAGTAATCTTATTAGAATCTTATGCCTTGTTGCAGATTATTCACACCAGGGACACTATTCGGTATTTACACATGTGGGACTTATTTATGTCACTTAGGATTATATTTTCAATATGTATCCATTTTCCTATGAATGAAAATGTTAAATGCACCTCTACATTGAGAAACAGATGAATGCTACATAACGCAAACAAACACAGACCACACTACGGAGCAATCCTGCTTCGTAGCATTTACCGAAAGCCTGCACATGGGTTTTTAGAGATATTCTATTCAGAACTGTCACAACTTGGAGACAACCATCATGTCCTACACTGACTGACTGGATACATGAAACTGTGCTACATCCAGATCTTGGAACATTATTTAATGTTAAAAATAATGTATGGAGTCATGGAAGAAAGTGAACTGTATTCTTGTAAGTGAAAGATGCTAATTTGAAAAACTAGATGCTATGCAACTCCAACTGTGTGACAATTCAGGAGAGAAACTATAAAGAAAAGATCAGTGGTTTCCAGGCTTTAGGGAGAGAGAGAGAGGAAGATGAATAATAAAGCCTAGATTATTTTAGAGTAGTGTAATTAATACATGTCATTGTAATTTGTCAAAACCCCAAAAATACATTTGTCAAAATTTAAAGAGGGCCAGGGATTTAGCTCAGTGGTGCCACTGCCTGCCTTGCAAGCTCAAAAACCCTGAGTCACAGTTAGATCTTCAGTTAAAAAAAAAAAAAAAAAAAATCAGGAATACAAGATCAAAAGAAAACTCTGGTATGAGTTATGGGCTTTGGGTGTCAATGATATGTCACTATAAAACCTGTATAAAAACACTATAAAAACTGTAATGGATATACCAATTTGGTCTTGATGTTGATAATGAGAGAAGCTACGAGTGTGCAGGGCCAAGAGTAATAGGGGAATTCTCTGTCTTTGTTTTTTGGTGACCCTAAAAATGCTCTTGGAAATACAGTCTACTAAAACACTAGACTATACATCTAGATCACTTCATATTTCTTTAAATTTTTTTTATTTTTTTATAAAACATTAGACAAAAACAGACACATAGAGTGTCAATGCAAGAAAATAAGAATGTCATTCTGAGGATAATATTATCTAAAAGATGGTTGCTTGACAAACTACAACATAAAAAGTAAATAAAGAATACACGTGCATATATTAAGTAAATCCAAAATATTAAAGCATCTTTTAAAGAACTTTAGTATTTTACTGTGTTATTAATTCATTGACCCACTGCCACACAAGACAATGCAAGATAGATAAATATTGCCACATAAATAGATATATGCTATGCATTTATATGTGTAGTCATACTTATAAATCGATCACATATGTATAAAATAAAGGCCACTGTTCTGTATATAGATTTAATGAAAGTCGTTATATCAGTTGTATAAAAAATGGAATTGGTAAACTTTTCTGGTAAAAGGCTAGTTAGTATTTTTAAGGATTTGTAGGTCAAAGTTTTTGTTCCAGCTACAAATCCTCACTTTGGAGCTTCAGATATCCAGCAATTTACTTCTCTGAGTTTGACTTTTCCATATTCTATATTTAATAAGACAATGTGGTATATTTCTTTGAGTGTAAGGATTACTTCCCTTAGTATTAAACCTTGTGTGCTCACCTGTGGCTGTCCATTTTGGCAGGATTCTTTTTTTTTTAAGGCTAAATATTATTTTGCTGTGTATGTATACTTTACACTTTTTCTGTCGATGGATATTTAGGGTGTTTTAATATCTTTTCTCCTATTAATTATGTTAAAATATAAATATATTTGCACACGAACACCTGTGCACCTATATCTTTTACATATGTACTTCATTTCCTTTGTTTAGATAGCCAGTCATGGATTTATTGTATCATATAATAGCTCTATTTTAAATTTTTATTAATTTCTCTTTTTAATTTTTAGAGGACCATCCACATTCTTTACCATAATGGCTATATTATTTTGTATTCCCACTAACACTTTCATTAGTGTTTGTTTCACTTTTTTGGATAATAGCCAAAGTAATATCTTATTGTAGCATTAATTTATATATCTTTAACAGTTTATGATGTTGAACACTTTTGGATTGGAGGATTTCATATTGTGAAAATGTTTATATTACACAAAACTACATCTATAACTAATGCAATGCTGTTAAAATTACAGTAAAAAACTACACTATCAAAAGGAATTAAATAATATGCAGGTATATATTCAGTAAATACAAAATATTAAAACATCTTTCAAAGAACTTTAGTATTTTACCATGTTGTTAATTACAGTAATAATTCTGAAAGAAATAAAAAATCCTACAATTTATGTAAAATCACAAATAATAACAAATGGCCAAATAAATTTTGAGCAGAAACAACATTAGAAGTGTCACTCTAATTCATTTATTTTCTTCTTTTTTCTTTGTATTTTGTGGTATTGGGGATCAAACTTGGGCCCTTGTGCTTGTGAGTCAAATGTCAGAACCATTGAGCCAAATCCCAGCTCTTGATTTCATAATTTACTTCAGTGTTGTAGAAATGCAAACATCACAGTATTGTGGCATAAAAACAGATACATGAACCAACTGAACACAGTAAATAACTCCAGAAATAAATCTACACATTTAGGATCAAGTGATTTTCAACGAAATTTCCACCATCACATGTGGAAAGGATAGTATCATCAATAAATGCCATTCAGATGTCCACATATAGAACTTCATCTTGCACTGTGTACAAATCAACTAAAATTAAATCCAGTTTTAGAACAGCAGGTTTAATTAATAATGTGAAGAAAATAAATTCAATATATTGTAATCGTTAGACTCTAACCTTTGCCTAAACCTTTTGATTTAAATGTATCTTTGTATTTGGTACATGTTATTTATGCTTCTACCAGTCACTACTATACTACAGCTATTGAAAAAGAGTAGCAAACCTGGTGTGGTGGCGCAGGCCTGTAATCCCAGCACCTGGGAGGCTGAGGCAGGAGGATTGCTGTGAGTTCGGGACCAGCCTGGGCTAACCAATGAGTTCCAGGTCAGTCTCAACTATATTGTGAGACCCTGCCTCAAAAAACAAAAAAAGAAAACAGAAAAGAGTAGCAATTACAATTAGTGATACTAACAGTAATAATATAGCAGTTGTATTGCAGAAACTATACTAAGTAATTGCCGTATATTATTAAAGTAATCTTAACATTTTTTTCATTTCTCAATAAAAATTTAGTTTTAGAGAGTTTATTGAGAACCAAAGATTGCTAAGAGTTTTAGTTGCTGCCATATCATTATAACCCTTCTGTAATTCCTTGTGTAAAAGAAAGATGATAGATGAGAGATAAAAATGTAGACTGGTATTTCACATCACTGCCGGTATTTCAATTCAAAATAACCCCAGACTGTATTTCTAAATTCTGAGATTTATAAAATTTGAACTTCATAAGAAGTGAAAACTTTGTAAAAATGAAAGCTTCCATAAATTAAAGGCTCATAATTTCCTTGTAACTCATAAGTTAAGAACTAATCTATCATTTCTGAGGGGATTTTGTCTGAGTGGAAGTGTTCCTAATGAATGCAGGGTCAAGATGACGTACTTCAACATACTTAAATATTATCTGTTTTGGGTGGTTTGTATACCAACAATACCAAATTTGGCTATTTGTAGAATCAGTACTTGTAGATTTGTATATATTTATTTGTATCACATTACTTCAGTGAATTTCTTCTATTATAGGAATTATGTAGCAGTGACAACATAGTGATTCCTTAGACACAGAGCCCCGGAGCTAAATCTAACAAAAGAAAACAAAACAAAAACAGAAACATAATAAAGAAAACAAACTAAATGGGTATATATGACCCACAGATTTAAAATATATTAGACAATTTGCTACTGTAACTAGAATTTAAAATATAAATCTCTTAAAATTACCATACAAAATGCTGCCATAGTAAAGAGACTACTGCTTTAAGACAATATTCTTCTGATTTCAACAATAAAACATTTACCATTGTTGGAATTACATGATTTAGCTGTTTTTTTATTGTTTATCCCTGTTGTAATGTATTTCATTTTTATCATTCCAATACTTAAGTATTGTGTTATATTGCTCAAAACAGAAAGGAAAATACAATAAACTTGACTATTGGAAAAGAAAATAATTTACGTCATCCTAAAATTATTTTTATTTTCATCTTTAAAAGTGATTTTACATCAGTGTCTACAGTTAACCATGTTTGTTTTCAACTAGGTTCAACTTCTCTATCCTAATGTGGCATAATAAATATATTTGTCACCAACTAGTTCTTAATCTCAGGTCCAGAAGTGAAAGCTACAATAATTTTGTTTCTATCATTTGTTACTATATAGATCCCTGATGATTTTAGCAAAGAAAACAAAATTGGAAGTGTTTGGGGGATTTGAGGAATTTTTTTTTACTCTCCAAAGAATCAAAACAAGATGACACTGGATAACAGATTGCAGTATGAAAACACTGGACTAACTCTTTAACCTGCTTTACCTCCCAGTATTTCTTGCAGTGAAGCTTATTGCATCATTAGAGCCATCATTTAAAAGGTTTTGGGGGGCAGGGATTTAGCTCAGTGGGTTTGCTGCCTGCCTAGCAAGTGCAAGGTCCAGAGTTCAATCCCTGGTACCAAAACAAAATTATTTTTTGGTTGTGTTATCTGTTTGCAGCCCAACTATTCTTAAATGATATGGTGAAGTCATAGTTCATACATTTTCCAAAATTCTGTCTTAATATATCATAAGCTTTTCCCAAATTATTTTATGAGTATGGTTTTACTTTGATATTTAGTATGCCTCAAGACCTTGAGATCAGGATATAGATCTTAGAATCATCCCAACCACAGACAATTGGACTAAGTCTAAAGATCTAACTGAAAGCACCTAGAGACTTAGTGATGTTAAGTAGATGTAAAGTTTCTGATGAAAGGGCTATTTTAAATGGAAGGATTAGGACTCCTGTGATGTTTGATTTTCCATGTCTGCCTGCAAAGATAGTTCTTAATTTCAGTAGACTATTTTCCTGTAGTCATTAGATATATGTTCCCTTAATTTTTTTCTGATTTGAAAAAGTAATTAATGTTTTTTCAGAGTATTGACAAATTATAACATTTTAATTCATTTTGAAAAACTCAATAAATTCCTGGCTTCTGAACCTTTAAGCCCTGTTCCTCAATCTGCAGTTATATGGAATTTACAGAATTTTTACCAGCTAGCACAAAGAATTCTCTGTGTGGTTGTGAAATGGTTGCTCTGTTGTGTGGATTTTCCACCATACCGCAAAATTACTGCATGATATGAAGACCTCAAGAGACTCTGTAACAGCTTTGACTCTCACATGGAGAATGGCATGGTTAATAACAAGCCTCTCATTATTCAGTTACTCTTTCCCTACTATGCTTGGAAAAATACTTTAGCTATATTTTTATATGAGTAAATTCTAAATTAAAGAACACACACACACACACACACACACACACACACACACACACACATATATATGTTGTTGTTGTTGTTGTTTTCGTTACAGGACCCTGCACTTGTGAGGCAGATGCGGTACCACTGAGCTAAATTCCCAGCTGAAAAAATAATTTTTGCATTTATTTGATGACTCATGGCATGTGCACATCTAAATATACACTCTACATTGTGGTTCACCAGTAGAGCTTTGCTTCATTCCATTGTATCTGCCATTAATATTCTCTCTTCAGACATTTTACAATGCTTTCATTAAAAGATAACTTAGTTTAGTAATTTAAATAGGCATTTTAGAGCATATGTTTCACATAATAAAATTATAAATTTTTGTTGTTTTATATAAAGCATATAATTGTAAACTACAGTTTCCATTTAAAATTTAATCATGAGTGTGATTTATTCAATCCCCATTGCCCTTCTAGTAGGATTATAATAGTCAATGCAGCAAATCCTGCCCACACTTGATCCGTTAATTCCTTAAGGCCTGGAGACTCCATGTTCAACCTGTATTCTCAGGACAAAAAGTATAGTTGCAATAAAAATTGCAACTGGACACTGTGTCATCATCAACATATAAAGTGGCATTCTATAAACTGTTAAGTTATAATAAAAATTCTATCATGTATCATAGAGCTGTGACTTATTTAATGAGGCATTTTCTGAACTGGTATTTCAGCCTGTATTTATACATTAAAAAATGTAAAAGGATTCAAAAATATCTAATTATTCATTGACACCCTTAGTAAAATTTCTTGTTCTTTCCTTTTTTTTAACAAATATCCTGAAACTTTACAAAGTTTACCTCTTCCTAAAATAACCTTGTTTACACTCTTATTATTATGTAAATATAAATTTCCCAAATCCATCTCTCCAAGAATTTTTTCCTTTGCAAATTTTTGGATTTTTCAAGAAGTGCATAGCTTTATAGGAAGTACAGTTCTGTGTGTATGCGGGCATTTGAATGTTGTGTGCCAGGGTACTCCATATATTTTACTGGTCTTGTAGCTTTCATTCTTCTCTCAAGGAAGTAAGAAAATGTAGAGAAACTACATGGACAGTGACCAAATTGTCCATTTCTGCAGGAAGGCAGACCAATTTTCCCTTACATTAGTATATTTTAAGGACATGGGTAAAATAATGAGCCACAGTGAGTGAGCTTCAGCAGATGAGGCAGTCAATGAATAATGTTTACTCAGGAGTTGTGTTGATCACCATATTCTACTGCATGAGAAATGTGAAGATATAGAAATTCCCAGGAGTAAACAAAAATAACATAGAGATTATAGAGCAAAGAATACAGAAAAGGAAGAGCAAATTTTAACAAGAAGTGGACACATGTAATGGAAGAAGTAAAATACAGAGTTTGATTTGTTTGGTAACATGTGTTAAGAGATTGACAGCCTTCATTAAGGATAATTTGAATACATGCTCAAGTTGGTAACAACAACAAAAGTGAAGAGAAAAAGATGAGTGGGTAAGAAAAATATGTATCAACATCACGTGCCTGAATCGTTCAGTGGAACTGCAGGAAGGGAGGATTTGGTAAACAAAGACTAACAGTAAATTCCATGTTAGAAGTTTAATATTCTCAATATTTCTCCCTAGAAGTATCTGTGAATGTTCAAGTTTTGTACTCTATGCAGGCTGATGGGGGTGATATTTTTGGGTAATAATTTTTCACATTGGTTACCTTTTCAATGACTGAATAAGGAGCATTAATTATTCCAGAAGGTAAATTAATGCAACCAAAGCAAAGAAGATATTGAATTACTAAATGATGCTTAAGTGAATATCAAAATTAATATTTTTGAAATCCAATGATGTTGATTTGCAAGAGCCTAGCATTGTAAGCTAAACTTTGTCTTACTCATATAATTATTGGTAGTTTCATTTTACTTTCTAATTTAAGAAGGCAAAGAATAGTATTTATAATTTTTGTTTTATTTTGTTTTTTGGTACCGGGGATTTATAATTTTTTGAGGAATGGATTTTATATTCAGCAGGAGAGTGGAGCAAAGAGCATAGTATTTATAAAAAAAGATGTATGATGACATCGGGTGTAGATTTCACTATAGCCCTATGAATGGGGTAGAACCAGGGGAAAATAAGAGAGAAAAGGCTTCATAATACAGTTGTGCTTTTCCTCCTAATGACTCTTTTCCCTAACTTTATCTCAGGGGCTGTGCTATAACACTTTACATTTCTTCAAGGACTTTGTAAACCAGAAATATTGCTTGCATTCTCAGAATGTGACAACACATTGAGACTCATGGCCACATTGTTCTGTCATCATAGTTACCAAATTTGAAAAGCAAGGCTGCTTTAAAGCACTTAATGAAGTTTGAATATAAAAATGGTTTGAGAAGATAAGTTTAAAAATTGCCCAAGACCCATTCTAAATTATTTAAAACTGGCTAAAATCAATACATTGGATCCAATTGAGCCTGGATGAGGAGAAATCTTCATGTACAGCAGATGTTAACATCACATTGCTGTCAACTTAAGGAATGTGGATGAAGGGTGCATGCTGTGTGTCAGGAGCTGTACAAACTTGGAAAACCTGCCACCATCACCAGGAGCTGGAACATAAACTCGTCAGTCCTTGCATGACAGGGCAACACAGAAATGGTCACAGAAGTATTGAAAATTTTCTATGGTAAAACAGAAAAAAAATCCTTGGTTTTAAATGGATTGTGTCAAAAAATAAAACACTAAATACTATGCCATTAGTAGAACTAACAACCTTTGAGTTGATGAGTTAAAATTTAAATGCATATATATATTTATAT